CCATACTGTTTTCTGCAGTGGTTGTATCATTCATTTCCACTAACAAGGTATAAAGTATAATTACTCCACATTCTTCCCAATACTTGTTATTTGTTTTGTTTTGTTTTGTTTGATAGTAGCTATCCTAGTGGGTAGAAGGTGGTATCTCATTGTGGTTTTGCCATGTATTTCCCTAATAATTAGTGATGGTGTCCCATACTCAATAACCATTTGTACATCTTTATTAGTGAATTGTCTGTTCTGATCTTTGCCCAGTTTTGAATTGTTTTGTTTTTTGTTGTTGAGTTTTAGGAATACTGTATATATACCCCTTGTCAGATATAGATTTGTAAATATGTTTTCCCATTCCGTGAATTGACTTTTTCTCTGTTGATACTGTCCTCTGCCGCGCAATATTTTCGAACAATTTAATAAGTTCATTTTGTCCATATGTTGTTGCTTTGTCTTTGGTGTTATATCCAAGAAATAATTGCCAAATCAAGTGTCGTGAAGCTTTTGCCTGTGTGTTCATCTAAAACTTTTATAGTTTTTGGTCTTTGATTCATTTGAAGTTAATTTTTGTATGTGATACTAGGGAAAGTTTGAACTTTATTCTCTTGCATGTGGATATCCAGTTTTCACAGCACCATTTGTTGAAGACATTGTCCTTTTTTTTTTTTAACTTTTATTTAATGAATATAAATTTCCAAAGTACAGCTTATGGATTACAGTGGCTTCCCCCCCATAACATCCCTCCCACCCACAACCCTCCCCTTTCCCACTCCCTCTCCTCTTCCATTCACATCAAGATTCATTTTCGATTCTCTTTATATACAGAAGATCAGTTTAGCATACATTAAGTAAAGATTTCAACAGTTTGCTCCCACACAGAAACATAAAGTGAAAAATAATAGATGATTTTTTAAATGATGATGAAATCAGATCAGACCTATTGTCATGTTTAATCCCAGTGAGAGTCAAGTTGGGAATTGATAATTTCTTCTTCTTCTTCTTTTTTTTTTTTTACAGAAGATCAGTTTAGTATACATTAAGTAAAGATTTCAACAGTTTGCACCCCCATAGAAACACAAAGTGAAATATACTGTTTGAGTACTCGTTATAGCATTAAATCTCAATGCACAGCACATTAAGGACAGAGATCCTGCATGAGGAGTAAGTGCACAGTGACTCCTGTTGTTGACTTTACAAATTGACACTCCTGTTTATGGCATCAGTAATCTCCCTATGCTCCAGTCATGAGTTTCCAAGGCTATGGAAGCCTTTTGAGTTCTCCGACTCTTATCTTGTTTAGACAAGGTCATAGTCAAAGTGGAGGTTCTCTCCTCCCTTCAGAGAAAGGTACCTCCTTCTTTGAAGACCTGTGAAGACATTGTCCTTTACACACTGAATAGTCTTAGCACTCTTGACAAAAAATCATTTGAGTATGTATTCAAGGGCTTGTTTCTGGGCTGTTTGTTCTTTTAGATAGGTTTGTATCTCTGCCTTTATACCTGTCTTCTTACACTATTTTAATTACTGTAGCTTTTAGTAAGCTTTGAAATCAAGAAGTATGAGTCCTCCAGCTTTGTTCTGTCTCAACATTATTTTAGCTATTTGAGATCCCTTTATTTTCCATACGAATTTAGGGTAAGTTTTTCTTTTCTGCAGAATGCATCATTGGTTACCCATTTTTAAAAAATTATTTATTTATTTGAAAGGCAGAGAGAGAGAGCTCCCATTGACTGGTTCATTCCCAGATGCCTGTAACAGCTGGGGCTCCAGCCCAAGAACAGGAACCCAGAACTTACTCTGGGTCTCTCATGTGGCTGGCAGGAAACCAAGTACTTAGCCATCACCTGCTATCTCCCAAGGTGTACATTAGCAGGAAACTAGAATCAGAATAGAGCCACGATTTGTCACAGGTGCTCTGTTAGGGGATGGGGATACTCCAAGAGGTGTCTTAACCACTGTGCCAAATGCCCACCCCAGACACAGACTGCACTGAATCTGTAGATTACTTTGGGTGGTGTTGATAATTCAGCAATTTCAAGTCTTCCAATCTATGGACATGGGATGTATTCTCATTTATTTTTTTGTCTTCTCTAATTTCTTCTAGCAATGTTTTGTAGTTCCATCTCGTTGGTTTAGTTAATTCCTAAGTATTTTATTTTTAACACTATTGTAAATGGATTGTTCTTAATTTCCTTTTCAGAGCATCCTTTTTTCTTTTTTCTTTTTTTTTTTTTGGGGGGGGGGGGACAGGCAGAGTTAGACAGTGAGAGAGAGACAGAGAGAAAGGTCTTCCTTCTGTTAGTTCACCCCCCCAGATGGCTGCTATGGCCGGCGCGCTGTGCTGATCCGAAGCCAGGAGCCAGGTGCTTCCTCCTGGTCTCCCATGCAGGTACAGGTGCAGGGCCCAGGCACTTGGGCCATCCTCCACTGCACTTCTGGGCCACAGCAGAGAGCTGGACTGGAAGAGGAGCAACCGGGACAGAATCTGGCGCCCCAACCGGGACCAGAACCCGGGGTGCCGGCACCGCAGGTGGAGGATTAGCCTATTGAGCTGCAGCGCCAGCCCAGAGCATCCATTATTAGTTTTGCATATTGTTTATAACTTACTATTTTGATTCATTCCAACGTTTTTGTGTGTGTATAGATCTTCAGTGTTTCTGAATATGAAATCATATTTGTGAACAGAGATAATTTTACCTCCTTTCCTTTTGGATTTCTTTTCTTTCTTTCTTACCTAATTGTTCTGACTAAAACCTTCTAGTATTTGTTGAATAGGAGTGGTCAAAGTAGGTATCCTCACATTTTTCCCAATCTTAGAGGGAAATCTGTCATTATTGATTCTGATATTTGCTATGGGGATTTTCTTTTCTTTTTTTTTTTTTTCTTTTTGGGAAAGATTTATTTATTTGTTTGAAAAGCAGAGAGAGAGAGAGAGGTCTTCCATCTGCTGGTTCATTCCCTAGCTGGCCACATCGGCTGGAGCTGCACTGATCCGAAGCCAATAGCCAGGAGCTTCTTCCTGGTCTCCAACGCAGGTGCAGGGGCCCAAGTGCTTTGACCATCTTCCATTGCTCTCCTAGACCATACCAGAGAGCTGGATAGGAAGTGGAGCGGCCGGGATATGAACCAGTGCTCATGTGGGATGCTGGCACATTGTGGCTTTACCTGCTGTGCCACAGCACTGGTCCCAGAGTGGGCAGGAGGGATTTCCTTATATAACTTGTACTTTGTTGAAGTACTTTTCTTCTATTTCTAGTTTGTTGAGTATTTTTAATCATGAAAAACTGATCAATTTTGTTGAATGATTTTTCTGCATCAATTGTGATGACCATGTGTGTGTTTTTCCTTTATTCTGTTAATGTGGTATAATGCTTTGATCAGTTTTATCATATTGAACCATTCTTGTGTTCCATAAATCCTGTTTGGCCATGTGCTGCTTAATTTGGCTTCCTAGTATTTTGTTGGGGATTTTTACTTCACTGCTGATAAAGGATACTGGTCTGTAGTTGTTTTTTGTTTTTCGTTTTTTTCCCCTCATAGTGTCTTTGATTTTGGTATCACGGTAATATTGATCTCAGAGAATGAGATACATTAAGGTTAGGCAGATATTTTGAAGATATTTGGGAGGTTAAAAGAAAATACATGAGGAGAATGTGGTACAGTACCTGATAAATGCCAAGTGCTCTCAGCAGAGATACTGTTATTATTATTATCATTATGTTCTCTTCAGTAGTGGTTATAGAGTGAGCTTAGAATTATATTCTTACTGGAATTGGCTGTATTATTCATACTTAATGTATCTTTCTAAAATTTTTGATTATTTTGAATCCTCAGTTCTTTTTTCAAAACACTGATTTTAGTTTGGCTTTCACTTGTGATCAGCTCACAGGAACAGGAATCAACTGTATCTACTGAGCACCTATTAAATTTTAAGCATTTTATTGGGCAAATAAACATTTACTGAAAAATAAAATGTGATTATCTGAAGTCAACACATGATAAAACTGAAGCATGGGGAAGTTAAAGCATTCAGGTTTCATTACTGTAATGTGGTTCTGACTCCACTCAGATTTTGTGCACATTCAAGATTGCCGTTGTTTTGGTTACCTGCCACAAGGATGGGGGTCCCCGGACCACCCACACTTCTGACGGGCCAGAAATTCAGGGGACCCCACAACTCCCTCAGGTTCTATAATTTATTAGAACACCTCCTAGAATTCAGGGAAGTTCTGTACTTAACATTACAGTTTTATCACTCACAGCACAAAACAGCCATCGTCAGTGACCCATAAGGTGAAGTCTGGGAAGGTCCTGAGCACAGGGCTTCTGTGTTCTCTCCCTGTCCAGTCAGGACTGTCACCCTCCTGGCACCTTGATGCATTCACCAGCCAAGACACTCCATCAAGTTTTGATGTCCAGAGATTTTATTGGAGCCTTGTTATGAAAGCTTATATAAGGCTTATATAAGATAGAAGATAGATAGATAGATAAATAGGTAGGTAGGTAGATCAAACCTGATAGATAGATATATCAAATATATATATTTGAGTGTCTGTGATTGAATTCAGTGTCCCATCCATTTCCCTCTCTGGAGTCAGGAAGTTGGACCCACTGCAGATGATCCAAAGCCCCAACTCTGTAGTCACATGGTTGATGTTTCTGGCTTGGCTTGTCCCCATCCTGAGTTATCTCATTAACATTAGCTGTCTGGTGCACATGAGTCACCTCAACGGCATGAACTATCAGGCTCTCCTTGAATAACAAAGACACTCCTAACACTTGGGAGGTTACCAAGGTTTAAAGGTTCTCTTCCAGGAACCATGGACCAAGACTCACAAACTTCTTATTATACAACAGAGGGTCACACATCAAATAAATGGTAGAGCCAAGATTGAATCCATTCTTTCTGATTCCAGAGCCCTTACTCTGTTCATTTTTTGAAAGTAAGAAATAGAGGGAAATTAAGTTGTTATCTTTTCTGATGTTTATACACCTCTTTTTGCTTCCAGGTACCATTCATTGTATTTTCCATGCAACTGGGCACCACTACACTTGGAAAAAGGTTACCACTACTGTGCACAACATCATTGTGGGCAAGTTGTGGATAGATCAGGTGAGCAGAGGTACCCAGTGTGCTCTTGAAGTTCAGAAGAACACCCCTTAGGTATATCTTTGCAGTAATTAACACATGTGATCTGCCCAGGATGTTGTTACTGGTTCATTGGTTTCAGGGAGTTCACCCCAGTACCTCCTCCACAAGTGTCTGTACCACAAATCATTGTTTATAAATGACTCGGTTTATGACATCCATCAGTGACTACCCTACTAGGACTGTGTTGTGCATTATGAGGTATATAAGAAAATAATAAACATAGCCCCCACTTTTAATCCTCTTATTATTCATTAAATATTTTTTGCTAGGCAGTGAGGTAGATTCTGTGGATACTTAGACAAGACATTCCTTAAGGAGTTTCTGTGTTGTTGAAGATATATGACAAACATATCTAGGATGAAAAGTGTGCAAAAAACACACTAGTATAAGAGATGTGCTAAAATTATATCTAGTCAGTGGTTATAGTAAACTTAGAAAAGAGGGAATACTAGTATTGTCTTCTGGGAGTTGTAAAGATTGGTTTGGGATTTAAAAGATAGAAAAATGAAATAAGCAAGTTGTAGAAAAGCTGACTGTAAGTTTGAAACTGAGTAATTTAAATAAAAGAGTTAAGGGTACTAGCAAGGGATTGGTTTGGTTAGGTAAGTTATTTTGTGAATTTCAGTATATGCACTAAAGGGCTAATCATACCACCACACAATTCAAAATGAAAGAAAATATCATTTGGTCTTGATCTTTTTGATATTGGAGTTACAAAGGGATTTCATAGCATCCCAAAGGTTGACTAATACCTGAATCTTAAGCAAGGGAATGCTAGAAGATAAGATTGAAAAGTAAAGATTTATGAGGCAGGCCATTTGGCACATAGTCAAGTCATCCAGTCTTAATAAAATTAATCTATGCTTCTTTTCATTTTTACAGTCTGGTGAAATTGATATTGTGAATCACAAGACAGGAGACAAATGTAATCTTAAATTTGTTCCTTATAGCTACTTCTCTCGGGATGTAGCAAGAAAGGTAAGGGAAGTTGGAATTTAAATGTTTTCCACTTAGTGTGTGTTTCTCTTTTTATTTTATTTATTTATTTATTTATTTTTATTTTTTGATAGGCAGAGTTAGACAGTGAGAGAGAGAGACAGAGAGAAAGGTCTTCCCTCCGCTGGTCCACCCCCCAAAATGGCTGCCATGGCCGGCGCACTGTGCCAATCCGAAGCCAGGAGTCGGGTGCCCCCTCTAAGTCTCCTATGCGGGTGCAGGGGCCCTAGCACCTGGGCCATCCTCCACTGCAAAGACAAATGAGGAAGTAAAATTTTAAGGCAATGAGAGGTTGAAGATGGGAAACACAGAGGAAATACTAATAAAAGCATTGCAGAAAGAAGGTGTGAACAGTTTGACCCTTGTCAAGGAAGAGTTGTGTGTTACTGCTACAGTGGGACTGTGGCATTACTTTCTATGAGACGGTAAAGAATACCTGAGGATTTAAATCTGTGATCTCTGATTTCTGGAGAAAAGAAAATGAATTCTGAGTAACAGATGCCTTTCCCACTTTGACATTGCATTAAAAATCCCTGTTCAACAAGAAAGTGATAAACCTTCAAGTCATAGCTCAATTATTGCAAGTAGTATCTGTTATTTGGCCACTATTTACCCAGGAATTGGTTTCCAGAGCAGTGAGATAAGCTACCCCACAGTGGATGCTATTCTACAAAGCCCTATTCTCCACCTTGCAGGTGACAGGAGAGGTGACAGATCCATCGGGGAAAGTTCATTTTGCTCTTCTGGGGACATGGGATGAGAAAATGGATTGTTTCAAAGTACAGCCAGTCTCTGGGGAAAATGGAGGTGATGCTCGACAGAGAGGCCACGAAGCAGAGGAAAGCAGGGTCATGCTCTGGAAAAGGAATCCTTTGCCGTGAGTATCAGTGTGTGTGCTGCCCAGATACTATTTTGACCTTGACGGTGGGGCAGTATTGAAGGATTTCTTAGCTGCCTTCCCACTTGTGTGAAGGAGTGAACAAGGGAAACCAGAACCTTTGGAAAGATTACCAGAAAGCTGCCCCTGTATCATTTAACAGCCTTGTCAGAACAAAGTTCAAGGTAATCAAACCATTTCTGCCAAGAAATATCATGCTTTCTAAAAGTCATTTGGGATTGTCATTCAGAAAGATATCTTTTTTTAAAAAAATTTATTTATTTATTTGAAAGTCAGAGTTACACAGAGAGAGGAGAGGCAGAGAGAGAGAGGTCTTCCATCCACTGGTTCACTCCCCAGTTGGCCACAACGGCCTGAGCTGTGCCGATCCAAAGCCAGGAGACAGGAGCCAGGAGCTTCTTCCGGGTCTCCCATGCAGGTGCAGGGGCCCAAGGAGTTGGGCCATCTTCTACTGCTTTCCCAGGCCATAGCAGAGAGCTGGATGGGAAAGGGAGCAGCCGGGACTCAAACCGGTGTCCATATGGGATGTCAGCACTGCAGGCAGCAGCTTCACCCACTGTGCCACAGTGCTGGCCCCCAGAAAGATATCTTTTTAGAGTTCAGAGCAATAGTATTCAAAAGCAGCTAAAGGAGAGAGGTACCTTCCACCTTTTAATTTAGCAGTAACTTGAAAAGTCGCTGAGACACATGCAGAGGTCATTTATCTCCTGTCATTTTCTAATACATTCAGTCTGTAGTATTAGCCAAGGTTATCCCAGAAAGAAGTTAAAGAGAAAGCAAAGGAAGGAAGGAGGAATGAGGACTTTTCATTTACTAGAATGTTTCATTCTTCCCAATGAGTGTATGTAAATCCACTGAGAGCAATACAAATCCCAAAATATTATTGACTCAGTGATGGTGGCAAGCGGATGGGGAGTGATCCAGTTTGGCTATCTCAATTCGAGTTGTCTGGCGTGATCCTAGATTCTTTGTATTTGTAGAACAACCTGATACAGTCTTTTTGTTTGTTTGTTTTGTTTTTGTGACAGGCAGAGTTAGACAGTAAGAGAGAGAGACAGAGAGAAAGGTCTTCCTTTTCCGTTGGTTCACCCCCCAAGTGGCCACTATGGCTGGGTTGTTGTGGCCGGCACACCACGCTGATCCAAAGGCAGGAGCCAGGCACTTCCTCCTGGTCTCCCACGCGGGTGCAGGGCCCAAGGACCTGGGCCATCCTCCACTGCACTCCCGGGCCACAGCAGAGAGCTGGACTGGAAGAGGAGCAACCGGGACAGAATCCAGTGCCCCGACTGGGACTAGAACCCGGGGTGCAGGCGCCACAAGCAGAGGATTAGCCTAGTGAGCTGCGGCGCCGCCCCTGATATAGTCTTGGAAGTATACTTAGATATTTCTCCTTAACTCTGGTCTTTTACCCTTTCTCATTTTTTACTTTTAGGAAGAATGCAGAAAACATGTACTATTTCTCAGAGCTTGCTCTAACTCTGAATGCCTGGGAAGGTGGCACTGCCCCCACGGATAGCCGGTTACGGCCTGACCAGAGACTAATGGAAAATGGGCGCTGGGATGAAGCAAATGCTGAGAAGCAGCGCCTGGAGGAAAAACAAAGACTTTCCAGAAAGAAGAGAGAAGCAGAAGCTATGAAAGCCACAGAAGATGGTAGTGAACTTGCCTTCTACTCTTAGTTCTTGGTAATTGGAAAAATGCCAGCTCTAATTTTGTTTTTCTTTTCTCTCATCCCCCTTTAGGCACACCTTATGATCCTTATAAGGCGCTGTGGTTTGAGCGGAAGAAAGACCCTGTTACCAAGGAGTTAACCCATATTTATAGGGGGGAATACTGGGAGTGTAAAGAAAAACAGGACTGGAACTCATGCCCGGACATTTTCTGAAGTGGCAGTAACAGAAATGAAGAGGATCTAACAGAAGAGGACAGAAGATGTGTGGGAAAGCTGGCGTTTGTGACTCTCTTACCAAGTGCTTTCCTCAAGTTTGTCTGTCTTAACCAATCATTTTTTTTTCCAAATCAATCACCAGAAGCAAACACCAGTGGTGGTGATTGGCTGGTTGCCTTAGCTGATCGAAAATGAAATCGACATACTAGATACCTGTGTTTGTAAGGGAGAGGTTTGGTGGCTGAAAAGTGTTATTCCACATCTGCAAAGTCAGGTGTTCTTGACTCTTCTTTCTCCCTCGGCCCCCATTTAAAATGATGTCATTCATCCTCCCTGTAATATCCTGTTTGGCCAAGATCTATATAAGATTATGATTCAGGGGCATTTTGGTGCTGTTCAGAGCAAGAGTTGGTTTTAAAGCAACTTTAAAAAGAAACACATAAGACTTACCTCTGGAGGCATTGCAAATGGTTGCTTTGGAGCTTAGGTATAACATTATGAAATGTATTCACACGGGGGTCATTCTCATGGGATGTCCGTGCATAGAGAGCGGAGGTACTGGACACCTGCAGGAAAGATTGTTTTGTAAGGCTGCAATATTCAGAGTCACATTCTTGGAAGTTTATATCTTCACTGGCATCAGACCTGCCTCTGCTATTCCCCGTCTTTGTCAGCAACTGGAGATGGTGGTTAGTAAAAAGGTTGCATTGTCCTCGCAGAGGCGTTTATCGACTTTCTCAGGCAGAGGACTTCTGAGAATAGGCAGAATGGAAAAGACTGCTCACCACTTTCGCTTTCCCTGTTCCTCTACATCTCCATCCTTCATTGCCTTTCTAGTTTCTCTTCTCTGTTGGCACAATACCAGTTTGGGTCTGTGCCTGTCCCATTTTCTATACATCAGAATCTGAGAGAAGATATATGGACAAAAGATTTTACCATCTCTCAAGCCCCATGGACTGGAGCCACCTCTGAAATAATGTGTTAAATATCTGTATATTATATATATGTAGAGAAAAATCTAATTTTTGGTTTGATTTTCCTCTTTCCCATTAAGAATCTTGGTTTTTGATATCCCTTATCTCCCTGGGACTCGCTCTTGGACTTGTTGATATGGATTGGCACTGCTCTGCTTTTCACCTTTTAGGGGCAGGCAGATTCAAAACCTGAGGAGGATCAAGTCTGGCAGTTAGAACAGGGACCTTGTCCATGGTTTGTATCATGGGGTGCCCACTGCTGTCTAAACTCTGCTTTCCTAATTACCTGATTCTTAAAAATTACATCCTAACCTCTTTCCTGCCTCTTTTCTGTCTTGCGTTAGGAAGAATATGGGTTGAAATTCAGGAGGGTAATTTCCAGTTTAATTCTGCCCTTGTCCAACACACAGGCTAACTCCCAAAAGAACTTTCTTCTTCGGATGCAGGGCTAAAAGTACCGTCTGGCCGAGTAGACAGGAGAACTGCTCCTGCTGGGCCTTGGCTTCCTTCTTTGTTCCGTGTTTGTTTTATGTTTAGAAGTCTAACCCCTGTACAACCCACCCTTGGTTGAGGATCACAAATTGAGGTGCCTTTCTTGTATGCTTTTTGTTAGTGTTTTTTTCTTTTTGTTCCTTAACTGCTGAGCCTCAGCCAGTGTGGATCCTGGGGGAAAATATCATTCCAGAGGAAGCCATCCCTCCAGGGAAGTTGGATTTATGCTGGGTAAATGGGTACTTTTATCCTTCCCCATCAGAGTGACTGCTGGGGGATTTCCTCCTAAGAACCCTGTTCCCAACACAGGCGAGAGCCAGGGAAGCCCATAAAGCTCGGACTTCATCTGGGGCTTTGGGTGGAGTGGAAATTCCCCAGCTAAGTTAAACGTCCCTGCCTTCTCCCTCTTTTCTTTGTCTGCACTACATTTCTGGCTTGATCCCCTATCAGATTCTTGCTAATGGAAGCTGAGTCCTTCAGGTGGAATAAAGTCAAATGAAAACAAAACAAAACTATATATATTTTCAGTTTTTTTGCCTTATTTTTTTTTTCAAAAAATTTACTAAATTAAATAATTTTTAAAAAGTCATATTGTTTGTCTGATTCACTTCTACTCCTACCAGGCAGAAAATGTTGGTGAGGAAGGGAAGAAGAACTGGTCCGATGAGCTTTGTTAAGCTTAGGAGTCTGGGTGCCCAGGAATGATGGTCTTCAAGACAAACTGAAAGGAAAGCTGATGTTCCAACTGTTGAACACCACTCCTTGGGCCCATGAGCAGAAGAGTAACTTTAGAAGCCTGTTGGTATAGGGGAATAGTTGCTAGTGTTTTTGATACTGAGCCTGCTTCACTTCAAAATTAGAAGTTTTTAGGGCTGCTATTGTGTAGCTGGTAGAACTGCCGCCTGTGACTCTGGCATCCCCCTTTTCCAGTCCAGCTCCCTGCTAATGCACCTGGAAAGGCAGAGGAAGATGGCACAAGTGCTTGGGCCCCTGTTCCCATATGGGAGACGTGGAGGAAGGTCCTGGCTCCTGGCTGCATTCTGGCCGTTGCGGCCATTTGGGAAGTGAACCAGTGGGTGGACGACCTCCCTCTCTCTGTCTCTCCCTCCCTCTCCCTATAACTCTCCCTTTCAAAATAAATTAATCTTAAAAAGAGTAAATAGGGGCAGTGCTGTGGCATAGTAGACTAAGCCTCTGCCTGTGTTGTTGGCATCCCATATAGGCGCCAGTTTGTGTCCCGGCTACTCCAGTTTCAATCCAGCTCTCTGTGGCCTCGGAAAGCACTGGAAGATAGCCAAGTGCTCGGGGCCCTGCACCCATGTGTGAGACCCAGATGAAACTCTTGGCTCCTGGCTGGCTCCTGGCTGGCTCCTGGCTCCTAGCTCCTGACTCCTGGCTCAGCTCTGACCGTTGCAGCCATTTTGGGAGTGAACCAGCAGTTGGAAGACCTTTCTCTGTCTTTCCCTCTCAGTAACTCTGCCTCTCAAATAAAATTTAAATAAATAAATAAAAAATTTTATAGAATTTACTTTCTCTTGCTCACTTAGATTCTGAGTTTATTCAGTTTTTCATGTAGGAATTCACAATTTTCAACATTTTAAAAATTTTTCTCATTTTCTAAATATACTTTTTAAAACATTTAAAAATATTTAACAATAATTGTATATATTTATGGAGTACAGTGGGACATTTCAACCCTTATAAACAATGTGTACTGATCAAATCAGGATAATGTTTCCCTCTCTTGGTTGTTACATGTAATTGGAGCCTTGGAGCCTCTGTCTTCTGTTTGCTCAGAAAATACAGGTTATTGTTAACTGCAGTCACCCCACTGAGCTCTAATACTGTGCTGGAACACAGGGAGCTTAAGTCCGGTCTGTGATTTGGTGCCCATTATCCAACCTCCCTTATCTCCACCTCCACCCTGAGATTCAAATTTTTTATTCTGTTTTTTGAAAATAAGTGATTGACTTTTTAAAGGTTTACTTATTTATTTGAAAGTCAGAGTTCTGCTGGGTCACTCCGGGCTGCAAACATTTGGGCCATCTTCCTCTGCTTTTCCCAGGCCACTAGCAGGGAGCTAGTGGAGCAGCCGGGACACAGGGTAGAGCCCATGTAGCTCCAGCAATTGGCTTTTGATTTGAGGAGCTTTGTGAGAAAGAGAAAGACAATGAGCATACTTGTTTAGGTTTTCTCTGTAAAATCAGGTTCAGGGAGATCCTGGGATGGGGAAAGTAACCAAGAGGCCCCAAGAACAAGTACAATTCCTGCCATGGGAGGGAACTCACTGAGCATCTGCTGTGTGTTCGTGCTGGGAGGCAGCATTCTCCTGCTTACACATAAGCAATTTTAAGAGGAAAATGTAACAGTTACTATTTTGAAAATAAAACCTAATTTAAATAAATTCTCTCAAGGTCGAATAGCTGGTTACTAACAATATTGGAATTCAAAACTTGATTTGTTGACCTCAGAGTCTGTGACCTCTCACTCTGTGCTCTGGGAGAAATTGGGCTGGAAGGCAGCTGGTGGTTGTGTCCTCTGCGGGATTATAAGCCAGGATGTGGAAAGGCACGTTTCTCTCTCCAGAGGTTAACATGGGCAGTGTCAGTTCTTTTGAGGCTGTACTTGAAGAAAGAATCAAGAAGCATCCTTGAATTCAGCCTCCAGGCCACTTGACTTCTCAAGGCTCTCGGTTCCACAACATTAGCTGTTTTGTCAGGGAATATTTTTCTAGCATGGTTGTCAAGAAGGCCACTTATCTGTTTAACCCATTTGCCTGCTTCCCGTTGCTGTCTTTGATGTTAAGTTTCAGCTGAGGTTTTTATCTGGCAAGCTAAAAAGCACAGCAGTGCAATTTGCCCCCTTGGCATATAATTTCCTGCATTGGGAGCAGTCAGATGTCACTGAAATGTTTAATGATCCTTCCTTGGTTCCTATAATATGGCAGGAAGGGTAGGAACATAGATCCTACGTGATCTACCAAGCCTGATCATGATTCAAAGTTTTGACTTATAAAATTATAAATTATTACACCTAGAAGAGAAGAAGAAAAATAATAAATACACTTGTCAGGGATCTCTGAAGTCCCACAGAAGTGTTAAGCTTGTCCTGCACATTTCGAGAGTCCACTCTACTTTGAGCAAGATAACAGGACCAACCTGCAGTTCAGTCCTAAAAGGAGGTGTAGAAACATCTTTGATATTTGATATTTTGTATTTGATATACAACCATAGTTGTATACCCTGCAAAACTCTTAAGATTGTTGCCAAAATTTAAAGCTTGCCATTCGCAAAAACATGGAAGCAACTGGGGGTCGTTCTGTCAAGTGAAATAAGCCGAGTCTTAAAACAGAATGATCTAGAAGTGTAATGATGGTTACCAGAGTAAGGAGGAAAGACGAAGGCTGGTGAAAGGTTGACTGGAATAAGATCTGGGGTTCTAAAGCACAAGTAGTGTGACTACAGATAATGTATGTATTTCTCTATTCGAAAAACCTAAAAGAGAGGACTCTGAATACTTTCACCATGAAGAAATGTTAAATGTTTGAGAAGATATATTTACCCTGACTGGACATTATGTATATACATGTTTGAAACAGCACATGGTACCCCATAAATATGTACAATTTTTGTATGTTAAAAATATTTGTAATCAATTAAACTTTTTTTTTTTTAATTTACAGTTTGCCTCTAAAAGCTTTAACCCTTTTGCCCAGGACTCTGCCCTATCCAGTGGGAAGCGTTCCAAGCTTTTCGTGGCTTTTCCTTCTGCAGCTCGTAAAGCAGTCTGTGGTTATACTGTTAGACTTTCCTCCCTATTCTTTTCAAGTACCATCTCCCTTGGTTCACATAGATCCCTTGTGAAAGGAGGCAGGGTGACCAAGTGAGATGTCTGAAAAAGCAAGAAACCAAAGAGTTCAGGATCTCCCATAAACAGTCTTGCAGAGGGCACAGCCTCTGCGTTTGACCAGGTGGTTTTATTTATTTTTATAACTTAACCTGTTTTCAATTATTTGAAAGGAAGAGCAATAGAGATCTTCCATCCATTGGTTCTCTCCTCAAATGCCCATAACATACAGGGCTGGGCCAGGCTAAAGCCAGGGGCCTGTGTCTCACATGTGGGAGTGACCCAAGTGCTTGAGCTGTCACCTACAGCCTCCCAGGTGTGCAGCAGCAGGAAGCTGGATCCAAAAAGGACACAGGCCTTGAGCTCGGGACTCCTATGTGGTGTAGGGGCATCCCAAGCACCCTGCCCCGATCAGGTGACTTTTGAGGTTACTAAAGAACTAGTTGGTCCTGAGATAAGGCTAGAAATGTTTTCATTCACTCATTCTTCATTCATTCCACATTGACCCAGCCTATTACTGTAACATCCGTTGGTAAGGTCTACTTTGATAAATGATGTAAAAGCACTGGAGGGAGCCACCTATCCTGTAGGGAATGGGTAGAGAGGTGAGAAAGACACATCAAGGGAAGGCTGCTAGAATTAGAAAAATGTATGTTAGCTGCAATGCGCAGGTTAAATAAGGGTTAGGAGAACCATAACGTAATGAAACACTGCAGGGACCATGAATCTGCGTGGGTGGCTGGAGTTCAGGGTCAAGAACTCCCGAGATATGGTACTGGAGAGTTAAGACCCACACTATGGAAGGTTTTATATACCATGAAGAAAAGTCATGGGTTTCCACAGTGTCTTGGCTTTCCATTCCTGAAATACTCTCATGGGGATTATTTTCAGCTACAGAGCCAGTGAAGGATTTTTAAGTAGGATAGTGGGCTCCAGCATGGAAAATGATGAATAGGTAGGAAGGCCAATTAAGAGGTTGGAGAGGAAGTGAAGATGATAAGTAGAGGGATTCCAGAAATACTTGAAGTAGAATGAGCAGCACTTGGGTATCATTTTGGATGGGGAGCAGAGAGAGGCAGCAATTCCTATTTTTCTGACTTAGGAAACTTACAAGGTGGTGGTGACATACACACATTTGGAAGGAAAGACAGGTTCATTTTTAGACAAGCTTTGAAGTGCTTGTGGGGAGATCAAGAGAGCAATTTTTAACATGGATCCTGTACTTAACTGTTACATATGTGAAGGAGCAACGGCTTGGGGGTGCTGAAACAAACCACACACTCAAATCACGTGGTCAACTTAAAGACTGTATAATACCCGGATCCTATCTACAGAACTTCTAATTTGAGTAAGGACTAGATCTAGCGCAATTACACACCTAATACAAATAAGAAGGAACTCACTCGCCCAAGATGACAGGAAAGTGAGATGGGGATTTAAATCTACTTTGTCATCAATACACCAAACCTAGGGAAAGCCTGCACTACTGTAGTATTTTCCATGGCATAATTGATTACTCTAAACTTAACGGCTTAAAGCCATTAGATTTAAGTAATTAGGGCGCAGTTCTGTAGGTGGTATGTCTCACAGGAGGTGGCTGGCTTCTGGGCTCAGGGTATCAAAATGGAAGTCACAGTGTGGGGTTGAGTTCTCAGCAGGAGGCGCGAGGGGAAAATCTGTTTCCAAGCTCATTGTTGATGGTACTATTCAGTTGCTTGTAGCTGCAGAACTGAGCACCAATTTCCTTGTGAGCTGTTAGCTGGGAGGCACTGTCAGCCCCTCAAGGTTCCCCACATTCTTTGCCCATCTTCAAGTCAGCAAAGGAGCATTGCATTCTTGTGTTTAGAATCTCTGACTTCTGCAACCTTTGGAGAGAATCTTTTGTTTAGGTCAGGCCCACCTAGATAACCACATGTTTTAGTCAGCTGTGCTGTGAAATATAACCTAATCACAGAAGTGAGATCCATCACATTGACAGACCCAGGGATTATACAGGGCATTTGGGGGGCTGGAGGGTGTCTTTGGGGCCATTTCAGGATTTTTCCTACTACAACCAACTAGGGAAAGAAAAACTGAAGTTGAAACTCAATGAATGATAAGCTCTGGACTCTGAAAAAAGCTTGAAGCTAGCTTAGGTGTGACAACCTAATACTTTCAATTTTAGAAGCACCCTCTCCTTACTCTCTCTTGAGAAGGTCAATCTGGAATCACCTTCATTTAAGGTCTATTGTATATGAATTCACACTAAGGTCATCTTCTCAAGTTACAACAAGCCTATGTTATCTCCCAACTTATGACTCAAGTACAGATGAAGCATTGCATTATTCTATGCAACAGCCTTATGGAGCTCATTTGAAGCACTTTAGCTTTTAAGTAAATGAATGCAAGAAATGCAAAATGATTAAATGGGAAGCAGAGGTGGAACACATCAGCATACTAGGGATATTATTAAACCACAACTTGCTCCTTAGAGTTTGAGAGAGGCCTGAGACAATTCCAATTTTTGACTACATATATATATGTATATATGAAAAAAAATTCTCCAAGATACAACTATACAGATTGAGGTACATCTTTAATACCAGGTTTAGCAAATCAACGCTTTAAACAAATACAGTGACTCTATGCATACCTCATGTAAAGGTAGCATTCAAAGTCTACCTTGAAGCCTTTACCCATGGCCTTCTTCCGACTTCTATGCACTTCTGGAGTCCCTGATATATCTGTAAAAAAAAAAAAATCATATCTTCTGACCTTGCAAAATCTTCCTTCACATAAGAACAACAAATAAACACACAAAAGAATATTCATTTCACTACTGACTTGAATAATAAAATTTAGAAGAAAAAAATGAAAATGTATGTCCTTAGGAGTTTGATTACATGGATTGTGTTATATCCATACAATCCAATGCTGTGCATGGATTAAAAACATGAAATAGGCATGTAAAACCACCATGAGAAACATCCCTGACCTTTTTAAATGAGAAAGGCAAATTGCTAGCAATAAGGAAAAAAAAATCTAAGAAAAGTGGGTGTTATGTCTAGCTTATACATCAGGACCTTGCATTATTACCTTTAATATTTGTAAAATGCTTACCTTCAACTGAACTTGTCTTTTACCGTGGAACAAACTAGTTCCTTATAATTATGTGGAGGAGAAAAAAAAGAGTTCTGCTAGGAGTAGCCGAAATAGCTCAGCTGGGAGAGCGTTAGACTGAAGATCTAAAGGTCCCTGGTTCAATCCCGGGTTTCGGCAATGGTTTTAGACGGCTGCCATCACTGTAACACAATAAAACTGAGGTTACCTGGAACTCTAGGTTGCCCCCTGATGGACATCCTCTTTGCTTCCAAAAGTACTCCCCCTGCTTACTTCCTGAGAAGGAGAAACCTTGAAACCAAGAAGGAAGGGATTTGCCTGAGTTCGAAGTCACTGTTTCAATCTTGATTTTGCGTCTGAGTCCTCCAGTGCAGCTCCTTCCTGCCTTCTCCGTCCTAGGCAGCTTCAGAGCCTGGAACTGGTGTCCAACGGTCAGAGTGGTGGGCGCACTCGGGTTCGCAGAGGGGTCTGTCCCCGCTGAGCGGGAAGGCCACAGCCCCAGCCTCCTCCTGGAAGCATCTGGCGCCCCGGTTTTATCCAGCTGGTTTAGCGATAAGAGGGACCCTAGGATAGCTCTTGGTTTTGGAGTTGGGGGCCACAAGCCCCAACTAGGGTTGTCCAATCAAATTACAGGGTGCCAAATTAAATTTGAATTTCAGAGGAAAAAACTACTTTTTAGACAAGTATGTCCCAAATACTTTGTATGCATGGAGCAAAGCACACTTAATTGTTACTATGAAACTCTGGATTTAACTAGGTGCCCTGTATTTTTATTTGGCAAATCACAAGTCCCTAGTTTTATTTTAAACATTTATTTATCTATTTGAAAGGAAGTGCGACAGAGAGCAAGGAGAGAGATCTTGCATCTTCTGGCTCACTCCCCTACTGACAGCGATAGCCATGTCCCTGCCAGGCTGAAGCTGGAAGCCAGGAATTCTATGCTGGTATTCCACATAGGTGGCAGGGGCTCAAGTACTTCGGCTACCTTCTGCTGATTTTCCAGGTGCATTAGCAGGATGCTAGATGGGAAGTGGAGTAGCCAGGACTGGAACTGCGCTGTGATATGGCACAACGTGGGCCCTGTAAGCCACTACTGCACAACGTATCTCTTTGAACTTGATGGAGCCCAGCGGAGATACTCAGCGCTCTGATCCTCAGCATCTCACAGGTTACAAATTAGCACCCAGCCCCTAATTTGTTCCCAGCACCAATGGACAAGTCCATGGCAGAAAGCACAGGGAAGCAGCCCAGCAATCAGCCTTCCCACCAGTCCCCAGGCCTCCAGAGTTGGTGGTGCTAGTTTGGGAGGGGTGGAGGACTGAGGAATCCAGAGGTTCCAGGTTGGATCAGAACACACACACACACACACACACACCCCTGTTAAGATGATGAGCTATTTAGAGCTCAAAGACAAGCTAAAACAAATAAACACTGTGTAAGATGTCAGAAATGTTTGGAATTTGGACATTGGACTTAGCAATACACAGGAAAAGGGGAAATCCCTACACCGCCCTTCAAGAACTGCAGAACTAAAGAAAGTTTTAAAAGAAAGCAGTATTACAACAAAGCGTTGGAGAAACTAATGTAGAAGGAAAGACCCAGTGAAAAGGGTGTGAGAGTGACCACGTCCAGGAGCAAGAGCAAGGACAGTCAGCCCATGATTCTCCAGCAGACGGCAAGGAAGCACCTGCTTCTTCCTCAGAGGACAGCAGTGCCCACTCCAGCTCAGCATCTGTAGTCCCCGCGACAAACTCTTCCTCCTCCTGTGACTCAGAGGCGGCTCTCAGCTCCTCCAGCAGCAGTAGCCCCAGCATAGACAGCCGCTCCGAGGACGAACCACCGAGGAGGAGAAAGAAACAGAACTGCTCCATCCCTGGTAGAACCATGGACTGAAGATGCTGATGTTATTCTCAAAAGGGAGTTCAGAGGATATTAATGTCAGATTGAATAACTGGTCAGCATTTCTAGACTTCAAACATTTCCAAATGTTGTAACTGTAAGAGTATAAGGAGGATGAATAACGGGTTATATCATTACCCGACTTCTTTAAGGGTGAATCTTGTTTTTCTTTTGCATCTTGAAAATATATCTCCAGCTTTGCCGCATCTACTGCGAGAATGAAGACCATTCTCAGACGGTCGACATCCCAGAAAATGTCGACATCAGTCTGAAGGGGAGCACAGTCATTGTGAAGGGGCCCAGAGGAACCCTGCGGAGGGACTTCAATCACATCAATGTGGAACTCAGTCTCCTGGGAAAGAAAAAGAAGAGGCTCCGGGTTGACAAATGGTGGGGAAAGAGAAAGGAACCAGCAACTGTTCACACGATCTGTAGTCACGTACAGAATATGATCAAGGGGGTTACACTGGGCTTCCATTACAAGATGAGGTCAGTGTATGCTCACTTCCCCATCAACGTGGTTATTCAAGAGAATGGGTCTCTTGTTGAAATTAGAAATTTCTTGGGTGAAAAGTACATCCGAAGGGTTCGGATGAGGCCAGGTGTTGCCTGTTCAGTGTCTCAAGCCCAGAAAGATGAATTAGTGCTTGAAGGAAATGACACTGAACTTGTTTCAAATTCAGCTGCTTTGATTCAGCAGGCAACAACAGTTAAAAATAAAGATATCAGAAAATTTTTGGATGGTATCTATGTGTCTGAAAAAGGAACAGTTCAACAGGCTGATGAATAAGACCTAAAAGTTATCCGGCTGCAGAAACAAGAACCCAGATTGTGTCTTGTGGTATTTTAATAATGTAATAAAAAATTATTGATTTGAGAAAAAAAATATATCTCCAGAACATAAAGCTGAAATCGAGTAAATCTGTTTCTGCGATGAAACATTTTTTCCTATGAAATTAAAGCCATAGTTTATTATGTTAATGGTCTATATCAGAAACATTGTCAGGATAATGCCTCACAATATCTGGCAACAAATTTTCAATGCTTTTCTCTGCATGTTCTTCTGTAAGATTTAATTCATTTTTATGATAAGTTGAGGAGTTTTCCTCCTGTTAATAAGAGCACCCTATTTTTACATTTAGAAAAAAAAAAAAAAAAGGCCATGAACCATGCTTCTCTAGGTAATTCAATGAACAGCACAGGTCTGGGGAGGGCCTTCTTTTAGGTACCCAGCTGGACCATGAGGAGAGAGGAGTGAGAGATCCAGTTCTCACATTCTAAGAACATGCAGTGTCGCAAAAGGCAAAACACAGACCTACAGTCTATCACCTCCTGATGCCTTTTCCCCTTCCTATTTATCTGGATCAAGTGCCAGCTGACAAGGGCCTGCATTCCGCTTAGTGTTCAGCTCCTGAATGGAAAGATGTAGTCTGGTAAGGCACTGTTGACGATCCAATGATGATCAAAAGAAAGGAGATCACAGTGGTGGTGTTATATATTGGGGTGTCCAAACCTTGCATTATGTCTGTACATACGATGGTTAATTTATCTGTGAATCTGGGGAGTGTGGGGTCCATAGTTGTTTCATCAAACACCAGTCAAAATGCTACTGTGCAGGTACTCCTTAAATATGCTTAACAGGCCATTTCGTGAACACCAGGTGTGAGGGAATACCTGTGGTAGCCAGGCCGGAGAGAACAGGATGATTCATGGGAGCATGTGGAGTTGACCCTTGCATTTCTAATGGAAATGTATCATGACTCTTATCCTTTGGACTGCAAGGTTTATGTAGGTAATCTCGGAAACAATGGCAACTAGACTGAATTGGAAGCAGCCTTTGGCTATCACGGATCACTCTGAAGTGTGTAGGATGCGAGGAACACTTTTGGCTTCACTTTTGTTGAATTTGAAAATCCACGACGGGCTGAGAGCTAGATGGAAGAATGCTGTGGGGCTGCCATGGAAGAGTGGAACTGTGGAATGGTGAGAAAAGGAGTGAAAATCGTGGCTCTCCTCCTTCTTGGGGTTGTTGCCTTTGAGATGATTATCTTAGGAGGAGGCCTCCACATCAACGCAGATCTCCAAGCAGAAGAAGCTCCTCTCAAAACTGGAGCAGGCCCCTTTCCAGAGCCAGGAGGACACAAAGATCACCGTCTCTGGAGAGAAATCAAAAGCTGTCCAATCCTTCTCCAGGTCTTGTAGCCCATCTAGGTCAAATGAAAGAAAATAGATCAGCTTGCAAGGGAAGTGGTATAGAGGAAATAACTTCATTTGACAGGAGTATGTATGGAAAATTCAAGTTTCGTTTGAGACTTCTCAGGCTTGGTGCATTTTCAAGATATTTCACCTGTTCACATTTGTCTCTTGGAATAGAGTGACACACAAAAAGATCTGATTCTCTATGGATTGAAATGGATCATACGAGGCATGTAATACCAAGAATTGTTACTTTACAATGTTCCCCTAAGCAAGATTGCATTTGCATTTGAATTTCAGTCTTGCATAGACTGATAATCTCTAAATCCTGCCCAGCTACATAAATCATATTGTTTTAATATTGTAGAAACAACTCTGTCAAAAATTGAACTAAGATGTACTTTTTTCATAACCTGGTATGTAGTACACAGCCAGGATGAACAAGCAGTCTTCAAAGGCTGCTATGATGCAAGCCAGCAGAGAAAAATAAAAGCAGCACTGTTAAACTAGATTAGAGATTTTTAAAAAACCCAGGTAGTCTTATCATGGGCAGAGGTTTCTAGTTGGTATAGAATCCGGTAAGTTTCTGGAAAGTTCATCTTCACTTAGTTCGTAAATTTCTTATGTGATTGCAATATAGGATACAAAGCTGTTGATACTTGTCTCTATTGGGAAATTTGAGATTTCAAAAAATACCAATTGTCCTGCCAGTTTAAGGGCTACATGTAGAGCTGAACTTTGGTTCTGTTTCTCTGGGAAACCCTGACAGCATGTTTTACTCTTGATCTTAACTACAAGGCCAAGAAGCAATGAGGACAGGCTTCAGAAAGGTACTTACATGCAGGTAAGGCACTACTGAGAATGTTACTACTGCTTTGAGCAAATGCCAACACCCCTGGGACTATAACAGTAGGACTCACCTCCTAAGAAAGGGTGGGTCTTTGCCCTGAAAGATCAAACCCTGCCCAATTTCCAGCTGGAGGAGGAAGGGGGAAATCCCTGTGAGCAGTATTTGGAATACAAGCAAGAAGCTCAGAGAATCAGGCCGGGTGTCCTCCATGGAAGCTGTCCTCTGGCAGGCCTGTGCACCCTTGCTCACGGTGTTACTCTGCCTGCCTTTTTCCTCTGTTACCGAAGTTCTTGCACATTCCTCTGTTAAAGCATTGACTAAGTGACTCTCCACTGTTTGCAGCCTGTATATGCGCCGGGCCAACAGTAAATACATCCTGGGGCCAGGGTGACATCAGGTGAGGTGGGAAAGAGGAGAAATGGTGTTGGCCCCAGGGAGCCACGCAGAGAAGAGGGAAGGTACACTGCCTTCTCAGAGGCGTGAGGAGTAAGAGTCTGTGCCGCCATTGCACGTGCCGCTCTAGCACCAGAGTTATTTTGAGCTGAAGACAGTTAAGAAGCAGGTACAAAAAATGCTCTCTACCCTCCCCCTACTTACCCAAAAACGGGGCAGACGTACAAAAGCATCCCTTCTCCCTTCTCTACCAGGAAGGACAAAGGCTGACGACCAACGATGACACTAGATCCTTATCGGCTCGGAGACGGCAGCACAGGAATCGATATAACAAACTTGACCAGTCTTTATCTACTATTGATTTCCCATATATTTACTTTCCCACAGTTTGCTACCCCTGGAGACTCAAGGTCCTTTTGCTTTGTCTTGTCACTTGTCCAAAAAACGTATTGTTCTCTGTTGAAGATGTGATATAAACCAGAATTCTGAACCACCTCTTTGAGACGTACTCATTCCCTGGGCATGTCCCATGTATCCACCCAATGCACACGCTAATCCACCTCTGTGTGTTTTTCTCTTGTGATTCCTTTTTTTTTTTTTTTTTTTTTTTTTTTTGTCACAGGAGTGTCAGCTAAGAACTCAGAAGGGTCGAGGAAAAATTGTATTTCCTCTACAAAGACTGGGATTAAAAGAGATGGAAGGAATTGAGGGATGTGACAGCACATGCCAAGGCCCCCAGGACTGAGAGGGTGCGGCGGGATCTGTGATATGAAAATAGTGGGGGAAACATCAGCTGAAGCAAGACAAAAGGCGTTCCTCCACATCTATCTGTTCTGCTAAAATTGCGAATGGGGTTCCACGCAGGGCAGCGGGTTCAGCGGCTTCCACTTGTTCGGAGTACAAACCTTTCCCTGGGCGTTTCGAAGGGCTGACGACGGGCTCTTCAGGAGCCATCCCCAAGGTGGACTTGACCGTGAAACCTCCTCACCGGCTGCTGCAGTTCAGCGCGCTGCTCATCACAACAGAGGGCTGCACGTTGCTTCAGTCTTTCAGCCATAATTTGACGTTCGGAGGACTAGAAGTACAGACATACGGCGATTTTCGCCTAAATGGTGTGATCCTTTGAAACCGTGTCTTTGGTTTTAGTCACACAACTGAAAGCACGAAAGGGGAATGGTTTTTAAAGCTCCTAATTTTTGCGACTATTACAATTCAAAGCGTCCTACGCCTTTACGAAAGGAAGAAAAAAAAAAAAAAAAAAAAAGCCAAGGTTGTGGGGCTGAGGTGAGACGGCGGCGGGCTGGCGGCGGGCGGCGGGGCGGCAGCTGCGCGTGCGCAGAGCCGGGCGGGCCGGGGCCGGCGTCGGCCGCCGCTTCTGGCCGGAGACCAGGCCCTGTCTTCGGAGCGAGACCGCGTCCCCCGTCCTTTTGAGCTGGCCACTTGGGATGGGGACGGGGAACTGCGAAGTGATGTCCTTTCGGAAGAAGCGGAGGCCCGTGAACCCTGAACTTTGGCCCCTGACCCGGGGCGCTTTGGTTTAGGGCAGAGAAACTCCCACGTCGGCGCTTCCTCCCCACTCCGCGCAGGCTTGCAGAACCCGGCGGTTCACGTGAGCTAAAGGAGCTCCAAATCAACAAGGAGCGGGCCTTACTGTATTTGGCTGCCAAGGAACAACCTCACTTCCCTCCCTCCTCACGCCCCGCTTCGCTTGCTCCTCGGCCCCGCGGAATTTTACGCTGGGGTTGGCCTGCAACACGCAGGAGACAGCCAGGAACTCTGCGGCGTAGTCCTTTAATGCCAGTAAACGCACCACGCACAGTCTTCAGTCTTTAACGCGAGCCTAGTGCTGTGGGCCCGGATAGCTCAGTCGGTAGAGCATCAGACTTTTAATCTGAGGGTCCAGGGTTCAAGTCCCTGTTCGGGCGCGTCCCTTTTTTTCTTTTTCCATACTTTGGAAAAAAAAGACACCAAAAACATGCGAACTAGTTTTACTAATAAAAATCCTGGAGTGTGTATGTTGCGGTCTCCAACCGCTCCCAATCCGGGTCCTCCACAGGGGAAAGCACACATGGGCGTTTGGAAAGTGCCATTCCATTCTCTGCGCAGACCTGGGTTGATTGTGCAATGGGAAGCGGACGTGCCCTCCGGGAGTCTGGTAGCCCCTCCTTTATGGATCCGCTGCTTCTCCCGCTGACTTTCCTTGGGTGTTCTGCTAGGTGCCTGAGGAATGGGTCCTGCAGCTTCACCACCCCTCCACGCTCCTTATCTGCCAAGAAGGTTTTGGTGCACTCTGAAACAGGAAGAGGGGAAGAGACCAGGTGCATCCCTGGCTTAGCTGAGCTGACCCCGGCGTCCTCTCTGACGGCCTGGAAACGTGGCCTGAAGGAGCCAGCGCTCTCTCAGCGCAGGGACCCCCGAGCCCTGGTAGGCGGGGAAGGACCAAGAGGGACCCCCCCCCACCCCGCCCCAGTCTTCCCTCCTGCCCTGTTCCAGTTCATCCCCTGTCCGCTCATCTTTTTCACCCTTTGGTGACAGTGACAGACAAAATCCATTGAGTCTGTCTCGACCACCACCTTTGGCCTCCGGTGGGAGCCTCTGGGTAGTTTTGGTTCAGTTCTGGATGCTTGGTGGTGGTGGATTGGTTCATTGAAAAGTTTTATCCACCCTAGGGCAGGGAAGGGATGGGACTTGGGTGCTGCCGAGCTGATCAAGTGCTAGGCACACAGTAGGTTCTTGGTTAAGGAGCTCTTATTATTTTTATGGCCCTGGGAACAGAGAGAGAAAACATTAGGAAGACCCACCCTCCTGTCATGACAGCTGTCTGAGACAAAGCAGAATGGGAAAGTTTCGTCATAGGACACAAATTAATTTTCTTATTGCTTTGGAATTCTCAGTGCTAAAAATAAACTGCTGGAATGGTAATATTAGGAATTAAATGGGAAGAACAGAGGAAAATTGAATTTTTCTTTTTCAATTTCCCTTTAACAGGGTGGGGTAGGTACTTGCATTTGCCGAAATAGCTCAGTTGGGAGAGCGTTAGACTGAAGATCTAAAGGTCCCTGGTTCAATCCCGGGTTTCAGCAGGATTTTTATTGCCACTGAAACCTATTTACTCCCCGTTGCTTTGTACATTTGTACCTGTGGCACACACAGAAACAGCACTTAATCCGTGTCTCTAACGAAAGAATCAACATGGTATTGTAAGAATGCAGAGGTTAGGCCTATTAGAGACATTGGAAATCATAGAATGCTCTGTGTTGTGTTCATATTATGGAGGTGGCAACACGTGGCAAAAGGTTGCCTGTTGTGGTGGCTAACAGGTCCACTTCATGGGTGGAAGGTCACCGTCAACTCACTGTGGCTGCAAATTTCTCATCTGGGACAAACGTGAAGTCAGTCTTCAAACACGCTTGTCTTACAGCAAGACTCGCAAGGCAGGGTCGCCAGCGCGTTTGGATTGGCCTGAACCACGTGTTTTCCTCTGAATTATTTCTTAGAACCTCAGTTTCCTCATGGAGAGTTTACTAAAACTGCCTGAAGACATTGTTTAGTGCAGAACTGCCGAGAATATTCTTGAACGCAGGTATAGTTTTCTTGGCTACGTGTTTGCTGGTGTTTTGAATATTAAAGAATACATGTTAGTGTTAGGAAAAAACTCATCTGAGGATAAAATAATGTATGACTATGAAGGTTGGAAAAGAAAGCCTGAGGTACCACCTTCCCACACATTTTGCTTTCGGCAAAACCCCCACCAATTCTTCCAGTTGGTCAAACCCACTCCTTCAACAAATTTGTTTTAGTTTAAAATAACACGCCCGAACAGGGACTTGAACCCTGGACCCTCAGATTAAAAGTCTGATGCTCTACCGACTGAGCTATCCGGGCCCTTGAAGAAAACTCTGACCATAGGCTATCCACAGTAAAATAGCCAAGTGGCCTCCGTCTTTATTGGATCAAAATCCCAGAGTCTTTTGGCTGTTTCTCTGACAGGTGAAGCTGCAAAAGCGAGGTGGAGCCTGCACGTGGTGAAACCGAATCTTTAATTCTCCCTTTCTCCTTTCACAGATAGACCACAAAGACCAGAAAGCACAACTGCTTGTTTGACCTAAGTTCCTAAGAGGAAGGTCCCGGGTCTAGGGCATTCGTGGCGCGTGGAGCCTGAAGTGTCCTGTGGGCTGAGTGATGAATGATGAGGTTTCCCATCACGAGTCGATGGGCATTTGTTGAGTGCACACCGCCTACAGCTAAGCAGGCTCGAGAGGGTGCAGAGCCCCGCTGCTGAGAGTCGGCCGAGCCTCCCAGGGGGTGATGGCGACCGGTCCCGGAGAGAACCTGACAGAGGGAACCGCGAATGGGAAGTGACATTTCTTACTTTGTTAGGGAGTCTGACCACGTCCCAGAAGCTCCCATCGAAAGATCTGGAACAGGCTGGATTTTATCTTCAGAGCCCTATGACCTTGGCATTGGACTTGGCATAGCTGTGTCCTGGATGTACTTAATGAGCCGATTTTGGAATTCATTTTGCTGCTTTATCACTTCGTTGTCCTGTCATTCTTTGGGGTATTGATAAGAGGCCTTGAAAGTGAGTGAGGTGAGAGGTGGAGTCTTGCACCCGTCTCATCTCTCCTAGGAGTCCTAGGAGAGTCCTAGGAGTGACTCCACTGTGCGAGGAAACTGCCAGGTTTGTACTTTGGCAGGCAGAATGCATCGGGAGAGCAATAGGCAAAGATTAAAAAATAATCATGGAGCGACGATCTATGTTGTGTCAAGTGAAAAGGACCCAAAGTGCCAAACAATATGTGTCCTATAATATTTGTGAAGAAATTAGTGTGTGTTTATGTGAATCCCCTCTCCTTTAATTGGAATACATGTATGCATTTTTAATTATTTAGTTATATATCTGTGGCTTGCGTACATGTAGGAAGATCTGTAGGATAGGAAACAATGGACCAGGATTGCTACCCTTGATGATGAGGTATGACAAGAATTCCCCTCGTCTCCTTTGTGTGGGTTTTCAAAAACAAGCGTGTATTACTCTAGTAATAAAATAAGTGAACAAAATGTCATCCATTCAATTAATTGACGCTTCTGGAATCGCATGTGTGGTTCTGTCAATCAACGCTGCTGGATGCTGTGTTTTCTAAAGATCGTCAGAGAAGGTGACAAGCTCAAAGTTCCTTCTGAGTCGGGAGTGGGGGAGAGGGGAATGCGCTCCTTGCCCCGTTGTTTTGGGGGGTGGTTGTTGGTGCTGAAAAAATCCCGAATGTATTGGATCATTTTCCCAAAGGAAGACATAGGTCCCTAAGCATCCCCTGGTAAGCCTCGATCTCACGAAGAAAACTAAAACCAAACCCCTGGGGGTGAGCTGCCAGTGTCAGGAGCAGTTAGGAGCCTTTGGCCTGCGGCTCTTCAAGCTCAATAGCTCCACCTCTTACATCCATGCCAGGGACGCAGTGGCTACGCAGTGCAGCTTTTAAGAGTGAGCGTGGAGATCTGTTTCCCATTCTCCGGGGGTAGATCAGATTGACAGGCACCAAACACGGAGACCAGACGTCTCAAACCGCATATAAGCAAGTGTTTATAGTGTGACGAAGGCCTGCTTAACTCGAAGCGGTAACTGGAGCTGTCTGTGTTTCATTCATAAACCGTCCATGAAGCACTCATTCATAAAATCCTCTAGAGCACTCCTTCTCCGCCTCCACCCCCATCTTACAATGCTCCCCTCTTCCCACTTTCCAGCCCCCTTTGCTTTGGGGAATCCTGGCTGATCCTTGCAGGCAGAGCTCGGGGTTTGGTGCAGAGATGGATCCTTGCTTGGTTCTCTCGAGACAGGGTTAGGGACTGGGGACTCACAGCTGGTACCTGCGTCACGTCCACCACGGCCGCCTCACCATCGGTTCAGCGGGGTTTTCCTCCCAGGACGTTTCTGCTGTGAGGACGGGGACTCTCTTATTTCCTCAACGCCTTGAGAGCTGCAAAACAAACTCTCAAAAACCGTCCTTGAATGAATGGATGGATGAATGGTTGAGGGACAGCCATGGTCAGGGAAGGCTTTTGGAGGAGAGGCAGAATGGATCCTTGGAGGTTCCCTTTGGTGGAGAGGGCGAGGAAGCACGTTCCTGTTCGGGTGAAGCGATTTCATAATCAAATGAAGTAAATCTGTCCTGGGGAAGTTCTATGGTGCCCCTTGTTTTATTTTCTTTATAGCATTTAGCATCACTGGATATTCTCCTACTGATCTTGTCTGCTTATGTATAACTCATCTCTTCCTCTTGTCATGTGTCGTTGGGCAGTGACCTTCTTGGTATCATTTTCTTTACTTTTTATAAATATAGATATCTGCATCCTAACAACCCTAGCCTCCAGAACACTACCAGATACATAGCAGGATCTCAAAAAATAAGTGTCGACTGATTGTAGCACAGTGCACCTCTCTGTCCCAGCCCCCACCCCCAAGTAGTGCTGTTGCACTCATTTTCTTTCTACTTTTCAAACTGCAGATTCCGAAGCTGTCTCCACATTTGCCACGTCTGGCAAAGACACCAACTTTCAGGTTGAAATGTCATTGTCATTTTTCACTCGGGCTGTGTTGGCTGCTATTACTTGAACGCCTACTACTGCAAAAGATAGATTGAAGAATTTGGAAACGAGGTTCCTGCTGGAAAAAACAGCCAGCCTCTACCAGAAGTGGGGTTCGAACCCACGCGGATATAAATCCATTGGATCTTAAGTCCAACGCCTTAACCACTCGGCCATTCTGGTAGTCGGGTAGTCACCGCTTTATTTTTTGGCAACTCGGGCAATATCGGCCCAAGTTTCAGTAATAAAAAATTATTTTTATTTCCGAGGTAAGAGAAATAATACGGAGAAAAAAGTGGCTTTTATTCTTTCTCGCTGATTTCTTCACCTCGTCGTCAGAAGCAAGAAAACGAGAAGAGGCTCGTGCAGCGGAATTCCCAACACCTTGGAGCGACGCGATACCATCAGGACAGGGATTCATTTCCGTGCTTCTCACAACGGGTGAGTCAGGCTGGATACTCTACACGGCAACGTTCTCCTCCGTCCAGGACAGGTATTTTACTTTAAACAGTAATGAAACTAAAAGCGACTCTGGTGGGACTCGAACCCACAACCTTTGAATGCCTCCGTCTGTCTAGAAGTCCAATGCGCTATCCATTGCGCCACAGAGCCAGGTGCGCCAAGGGCCTCCCAGCAGCGAACATCAGCGCAGGAGGGGCGTGGACTCGGAAGCCCGCGCTCGCTCCCTCGGACTCGGCCCCGGGCGGAGGCGCCCAGGCGGGCTGCGTCAGGAGACCCGACCCCCTTCTGAGGGTTGCTCTCTACGCGCACGCGCCCCGGTCGCGAGCCTGGGTGTCCTCCGTCGCCTTGTTAAAGAAGCTGCACGCAATGAATAAGCTGTAGCGCAACGCGCTGACATGCGGTTCCATAGTGTAGCGGTTATCACGTCTGCTTTACACGCAGAAGGTCCTGGGTTCGAGCCCCAGTGGAACCACAGGGCGGTCTGCCCTTTTCCGGGTTCTCGTTGTTGCTGTCTTTTCCCAGTCAGAACTCCGCTTTTCCTCCTGGAAGCAATGCCGCTAGGTACGAGATTCTTTTAAAATTCCTTGTCTCTTCCGGTCCCGAACAGCAAATCCCTAACACAGCGCCCATCATTCAAACATCTCCAGTTACCAAACTCTGCAGCACTTTTTCTACCACGTGGTTCCATAGTGTAGCGGTTATCACGTCTGCTTTACACGCAGAAGGTCCTGGGTTCGAGCCCCAGTGGAACCATGCTGTCGCTCCTTTTCTTTTGGTCCGGCTGTTTTGCGGCAGATCTTGGGTTTGACTTCAGGAAGCCGCCACCTCGACCGCGCCTGTGGAGGGTGACAGGCCCCGTGGCGGCGCTCGCTCCGTCTCCCAGGCTGCCGGGGCGCGGCGGCTCTGAGGGGGCGCGGCGGCGCTGAGGGGGCGCGGCCGGCGCTGAGGGGGCGCGGCGGCTCTGAGGGGGCGCGGCGGCTCTGAGGGGGTCCGGGCGACTCCTCCGGGCGGGAGCGCCGCTGCGCCTGCGCAGTGCGCACTGCCGGGCCAGCCCGCCGCCCCGCGCCTGGGGTCGCCCGTCTATACTCCGCTAGAGCGGTCTCCTGTCTGCACTGCGAGGAAGGGGCACCCCCAAAGGCCCGCTTTTGCTTTGTTGAGCGACTCCAACTCCACTGGCCTCGGAACTTTTTGAAAACTTAACTTGAAGGACGGGGTGAAGAGTTCAAAGCTTCGTCGCGCGTTGCGGTGGTGTGGCCCGTCTTTCCACTGCTTGAAGTTGCTTCTGCGACGCGGAAACGTGTCGTGCAGTCAGCAGTCTAAAAATACAGTTCCGAGTCGTTTCTAAGCCACTTCGTGCTTCTTATCCACAAAGCAGCGCATCACGGGTACGGCTGCCCGGTCCTTCCGAGCCCCGCGCCCCAGCGATAGCCTGAAAAATCTCGTTTTCGTTCGTAAAGCCTCGCTCGTCCCTTCGCCGCCAGCCTTGGGACGGACTACAGCTCTGGATGATGCACAGTTCAGTCGTCTCCGGGCTGACAGTGCTGTAGTGGATTTCCTTATTGACTGACTTCCTGATTAATGCAGAATGTGGAGGGATACAAGCTCTGGAAGAGGCACTGTGTGGCCTCGCGAGGTCACTGTCCGGCCCCACCCCGTGGTGGTCACTCTAGTACTGTCCGTCCCATCTTACAGAGGACCCCGTGGAAGTCTAGAGAGGCCGAGTCATCGCCCAGCGTTATAGCTCTGCTCAGGGACTGAACAGGCGACCAACCCAGGCGACCGAAATGTTGGCTTTTTGCCTTAGAAAAGGAATTGCTGCAGCACTAGTCACAGTAGCCAAGGCGTGTAATCAGCTGAGCTGTCTGTCCATCAGCACATGAATGGTAGAAAGATGTGCTATGTGTATGCAATGGCATGTTATCCAACATAGAAACAGTGGAATCTGTCATTTGAGGCAGTATGTAGTAACCGGAGGGTGTAAGTGAATGTCCCAGGCCCAGAAAGACAAATATAGCTTGTTCTTTCTTGCTCAGGCAGGAAAGCTATGAAAATTGATTTTGTAGAAGCAGAAAGTAGAATAATGGCCGCTGAAGTGAGGCAGCAGCAGGGGCGGGTGGGGTGGTGGTGGTGATAGAGGGAACTTGGATGCTGGCACCAAATTACAGTTATATAGGAGGCATAAGTTATACTGTTCTACAGGGTCCCCATACGCAATTTATTTTATTATTATTGTTTCACTTTTTCATTTTATTTTATATCAATTTATTATTTATAAAAATCTGGAAGAATTTAAAGTTTCCTAAAACAAAGAAATGATTAAAGGTTAAGGGGGTGGAAATGTTGATTATCCGGAGTTGATTCATTCCGCATTGTACACATATATGGAATCATCACACTGAACTCTATAAATGTGTTCAGTGATTTTATGTTCATTAAAAAATAAAATGAATTGCTGGGCATAATATATACAATATGTTGTTTCTATACACATTGC